ATACTTCATATCAGACCACCCCTGGACCCACAAGAGGATTCTGCAGGGAGCAAAACCAAATCATTAAGTAATTCTGCTGTCCGCACCATACAGGACCTGCCAGAAGAAGAACAGCAGAAAGAGGACCTGTTACACAACCGGATCCAACACACCTGGGTAAATGATGTATATCGTCCTTTGTAAACTGTGGATGGAGTTCAGAAAAAGGGGGGGAACTGGAATTGGGCTTTAAAGTTGATGACGAAGGTCCAAACTACACATCGGTTCTGCGTCAGGTACCAGAAATATTATAAAGATGAATCCGGGCGTGAAGGTGTTAAGACACAAAAAACAGAGTGCGGACGACTCCTGGCAGCGGCCTTACTGACAAAATATATTTTATCTACAACTGTTTGCAATACCGTGTGAACAAATAGGGGCCTTTGATTCAAAGCGCTGCTTTGCTGGCACGTCAGGCAGACTGGAGGTGCTCAGAAAGGGCATAAAAAAGCCCAAACAAGGAAAGTTAAACATGTGGCGGACAGCCACGGCCAGCAGACAAAAAAACATCGTCCACCTAATCACAGCTATATCAAAACTGGATGTGTTGAGCAAACTAATACAAAGGATGGGAAAAAAAGAAATAAATACGGCTGGTGACAGAACTGGCCCCACTACTTGATTAAAGGGATGCCCATTCCAAAGAAATATCTCAAAATTGATCTAAAATGCAGGAAAAACAGCAATTTTCTGATTGAAAGTGATTGCTGTTTACCCTCCCAGGCAGTTTGTCATCTGGATGTGTTCTCCTGGCGCCATCAATGCGTCGATCTGCTGCTAAACCCGTCATCTCCAGAAGTTGCCATCACTGTAACACAATAATGGGATTCATGCATGAAGAGTACCACCTGTGTGAGGAGCTCCAGCTGGAAGCTGCCGTTCTCGGATGCCAAGACAGTAAAGGTGAATTTATTGATAGGAACATTGAAGGCTGATGGCAGAGAAAGGTCAAGTGGTCCATTATGTGGTTTTTGTCCGAGAGTAGTAGACCTCATATCGATCATGCTTGTAGTCACGTACTGATGATGAACTCACAACCTCTGCTGGAAGTCACATCCAAGCGCTCAGTATGCTATTGTGAAATATTACTAACGTTACTTCTGAACTTTCCTCCTGCTAGTTTGAGGTCATGTCCCTATGTCTGTTCTTCAGCTCATGGTGGAAATACGACCCTCCTGGCCCCTTATTCACAGTTAAAGGTCAAGTTAACTGTTCCTTGTTTGCTCCATGCCATACTCCACCCTTAACTGAGACACCCATCACCTCGTAGGCCTAACTGAGACACCCATCCCCTCGTAGGCTTAACTGAGACACCCATCCCCTCGTAGGCCTAACTGAGACACCCATCCCCTCGTAGGCCTAACTGAGACACCCATCCCCTCGTAGGCCTAACTGAGACACCCATCCCCTCGTAGGCTTAACTGAGACACCCATCCCCTCGTAGGCTTAACTGAACCACCCATCCCCTCGTAGGCTTAACTGAACCACCCATCCCCTCGTAGGCCTGAGCCACCCATCCCCTCGTAGGCTTAACTGAGCCACCCATCCCCTCGTAGGCTTGCCTGAGCCACCCATCCCCTCGTAGGCCTAACTGAGCCACCCATCCCCTCGTAGGCCTAACTGAGACACCCATCCCCTCGTAGGCTTAACTGAGACACCCATCCCCTCGTAGGCTTAACTGAGCCACCCATCCCCTCGTAGGCTTAACTGAGACACCCATCCCCTCGTAGGCCTAACTGAGCCACCCATCCCCTCGTAGGCTTAACTGAGACACCCATCCCCTCGTAGGCTTAACTGAGCCACCCATCCCCTCGTAGGCTTAACTGAGACACCCATCCCCTCGTAGGCTTAACTGAGCCACCCATCCCCTCGTAGGCTTAACTGAACCACCCATCCCCTCGTAGGCCTGAGCCACCCATCCCCTCGTAGGCTTAACTGAACCACCCATCCCCTCGTAGGCCTGAGCCACCCATCCCCTCGTAGGCTTAACTGAGCCACCCATCCCCTCGTAGGCTTAACTGAGCCACCCATCCCCTCGTAGGCCTAACTGAGCCACCCATCCCCTCGTAGGCCTAACTGAGACACCCATCCCCTCGTAGGCCTAACTGAGCCACCCATCCCCTCGTAGGCTTAACTGAGCCACCCATCCCCTCGTAGGCTTAACTGAGACACCCATCCCCTCGTAGGCTTAACTGAGACACCCATCCCCTCGTAGGCCTCCACCACAAGCATTTTCCAACATCTTGATGTGCAGCATTTCCAGAAGTGCTTCAGGCACACCTCCATAATGGACAGAATGATGCTGATGTGATAATGCCACTGGGGATATCTGTGTCATTAAGTGCTGAAAGAAGGTTGGTGTGGTGATGCCCATCCTGCGGATTCCTCTAGTGATATAAAGATCTATATAGAGGAATCAGGACCTCCTTCCTCCTGCCGGTGACCCCTCTAGTGATAGGATCTATATAGAGGAATCGGGACCTCCTTCCTCCTGCCGGTGACCCCTCTAGTGATAGGATCTATATAGAGGAATCAGGACCTCCTTCCTCCTGTCGGTGACCCCTCTAGTGACAGGATCTGTATAGAGGAATCAGGACCTCCTTCCTCCTGCCGGGGACCCCTCTAGTGACAGAATCTGTATAGAGGAATCAGGACCTCCTTCCTCCTGCCGGTGACCCCTCTAGTGATAGATCTATACAGAGGAATCGGGACCTCCTTCCTCCCGCCGGTGACCCCTCTAGTGATAGGATATATATAGAGGAATCGGGACCTCCTTCCTCCCGCCGGTGACCCCTCTAGTGATAGGATCTATATAGAGGAATCGGGACCTCCTTCCTCCCGCCGGTGACCCCTCTAGTGATAGGATCTATATAGAGGAGTCGGGACCTCCTTCCTCCTGCCGGTGACCCCTCTAGTGATAGATCTATATAGAGGAATCGGGACCTCCTCCCTCCCGCCGGTGACCCCTCTAGTGATAGGATCTATATAGAGGAATCGGGACCTCCTTCCTCCTGCCGGTGACCCCTCTAGTGATAGGATCTATATAGAGGAATCGGGACCTCCTTCCTCCCGCCGGTGACCCCTCTAGTGATAGGATCTATATAGAGGAGTCGGGACCTCCTTCCTCCTGCCGGTGACCCCTCTAGTGATAGATCTATATAGAGGAATCGGGACCTCCTTCCTCCTGCCGGTGACCCCTCTAGTGATAGATCTATATAGAGGAATCGGGACCTCCTTCCTCCTGCCGGTGACCCCTCTAGTGATAGGATCTATATAGAGGAATCAGGACCTCCTTCCTCCTGCCGGTGACCCCTCTAGTGATAGGATGTCAGGAATGGACTGGCCAGCAATGGTGGGACTCACCTGCCTTTTGATCTGCAGTACCAGGGCTGGCCAGCGGGTGCTCCCAGCAATCAGAGACTCAACCTTTCAGCCAGCTAACACCTGGAACTGATGATGCTGGGGTATTTAAGGGATGGCCAGACCCACAGACTCTGCCTTGGTGTGTGTTTGTCCTGGGCCCTGTATCTGTCCTGCATCCTGTTTCTGTCCCTCTGCCTGACCCTCTGTACTACGCTGCTTGTTACCTGTTTTGATCCCTGGCTTGTGACCCTGACCATCCCTCTGCCTGACCCTCTGTACTACGCTGCTTGCTACCTGCTGAACCTGGCCTGTGACCCCAACCATTCTCCGCTTGCTCCCCCTGTACCTACCTGCCCTATTGATATTGACCCGGCCTGCCTGACGACGCTTGCTTGTATGTACTGTTATCTGTGGGTGGTTTGGTTGGGTTTGTTTGCACTGTATTATGTTTAGTATTGCACTGCGTTTATGTTTGTATGGTTAGTGTTAATAAATTGTATTGTTTATCACATATCTGAGGTCTGCGTTTCCCTGCGTCAGTCACACACCTCTGGTCATACCTGGGAGCCCTGACATTACACCAAGGCCAATCCTGACCAGAAGTGGCTGCACAGGGAAGCCATCTTGGCTTGTTGATGGGAAGGATGGATCTGGATGAGGTTGAATATTTATATCTGCTAGTGTTTGATGACAGGGAGTATGCTTATCAAACTCTGAAGGAGTATCCCCGGGATGAACTGCTAGAATGTATACGGCTCGCTCATGTTCTAGTAGATCAGGGCACAGAGTTCTCTGAGGTGCAGCCATTGATTGAGGTTTGTGCTGAGTTGGTTTCATCTGGTTCCCCCGAATGCAGGGATGAATTTTTGCCACCATTTAGTGCAGACCAGGTAGAGTCCCTGGTGTGGGTTATTAGAGGATGATGTGGGTTACTTTCTGGAGCGTTATTCCACATGTTCACCACAGACACTAAGAGATTGTATAAACGCAGTGCAGTCATTGACCAGACAGGCTTTGTGTAAGCTCCGCTTTGTTCAACCCATACTGCAGACATGGACAGACTTGTTGCACCCAGCCTCAGTCAGCTTACAAAGACCTAGTCCTGCTTCTAACTCTACTCCTGTATTCCCACCAGCTCCTCCAGTTACAGCCCAGTATACTTGGCTATCTACCGCATGTCAGTCCCCTGTTCCCACTCGCTGCACCTATCCTGCCTTTAACCCTGTAAAAAAGCCCTCTGTAGCAACTGTTCCCTCTCCTGTTCCATCCTCCAGCTCTTCTCTGTCTCCAGCTGCTCCATTCGTTTGCAGACCTGCGTTTACTTGCAGTGCTCCAGTAGTTAAAACCAGAAAAAAGCGAAAATTCTTTCCAACCAATACCATCCTGCCAGTATCCAAACCGGTGAACCTGCCTTCCGTGGTTCAGCCTGAAGCCTCTACTCAGCCGGATGCCTCTCCTCGGCCTGAAGCCTCTCCTCAGCCTGATGCCTCTCCTCAGCCTGATGCCTCTCCTCAGCCTGATGCCTCTCCTCAGCCTGATGCCTCTCCTCAGCCTGATGCCTCTCTTCGGCCTGATGCCTCTACTCAGAAGCCTCCCGGACGCCGGCATTCAGCCTGATGCCTCTACCCAGCATGATGAACTGATCCAGCCTGACGATCCTATTAGGCCAGTTGACTCGATGCCCGCTGTTGATCCAGATGATCCGGTACCTGATCCGGTGCCCGCTGTCGAGCCAAATGACCTGATGCCTGGTGACCCAGTGCCCGCTGTCATACCTGGTGACCCGATGCCCGCTGTCGAGCCAGACAATCCGGTACCTGATGACCCGGTGCTCACTGTCGTGCCTGTTGACTCGGAGCCCACTGCCTTGCCAGATGACGCGGTGCCCGCTGTCGAGCCAAATGACCTGATGCCTGGTGACCCGATGCCCGCTGTCCAGTCAGACGATCCAATGTCTGACCCAGTGCCCGCGGTCATACCAGTTGACTCGGAGCCCACTGCCTTGCCAGATGACGCGGTGCCCGCTGTCGAGCCAAATGACCTGATGCCTGGTGACCCAGTGCCCGCTGTCCAGTCAGACGATCCAATGTCTGACCCAGTGCCAGCGGTCATCCCAGTTGACTCGGAGCCCACGGTTGTGCCTGGTGACTCGGTGCCCCCGCCGCCCCGCCTGGGGGCCTGAGACCTGCGTTCCGCCTAAGGGCCCGAGACCTGTCGCTCCTCCTGGGGGTCCGGCGCCCGCCGCTCCGCCTGAGGGCCCGAGACCTGTCGCTCCGCCTGGGGGTCCGGCGCCCGCCGCTCCTCCGCCTGAGGGCCCGAGACCTGTCGCTCCGCCTCCTGGGGGGGGCCCGCGCTCCGCCGCGAGCTCCGCCTGAGGGCCCGAGACCTGTCGCTCCATCTGGGGGTCCGGCGCCCGCCGCTCCGCCTGAGGGCCCGAGACCTGTCGCTCCGCCTGGGGGTCCGGCGCCCGCCGCTCCGCCTGAGGGCCCGAGACCTGTCGCTCCATCTGGGGGGCCGGCGCCCGCCGCTCCGCCTGAGGGCCCGAGACCTGTCGCTCCGCCTGGGGGCACGATGCCTGTCGCTCCGCCTGGGGGCACAATGCCTGTCGCCCGCCTGGGGGCACGGTGCCTGTCGCCCCGCCTGGGGGCCCGTGCCTGCCGCCCCGCCTGGGGGCCCGGTGCCTGTCGCCCCGCCCGGGGGCCCGGTGCCGGTGCCCGGGGGCCCTGCCTGCTGCTCCGCCCGGGGGGCCTGCCCGCCCGGGGGCCCGGTGCCTGCTGCCCCGCCCGGGGGCCCGGTGCCTGCTGCCCCGCCCGGGGGCCCGGTGCCTGCGGTGCCCTGCCGCCCCGCCCGGGGGCCCGGTGCCTGCTGCCCCGCCCGGGGGCCCGGTGCCTGCTGCCCCGCCCGGGGGCCCGGTGCCTGCTGCTCCGCCCGGTGGCCCGGTGTGCCTGCTGCTCCGCCCGGTGGCCCGGTGCCTGCTGCTTCGCCTGGTAATCCGATGTGCCTCTGCCCGGAGTCCCTGCTCCGATGTGCCTCTGCCCGGAGTCCTGCCCGATGTGCCTCTGCCCGGTGTGCCTCTGCCCGGAGTCCTGCCCGATGTGCCTCTGCCCGGAGTCCTGCCCGATGTGCCTCTGCCCGGAGTCCTGCCCGGTGTGCCTCTGCCCGGTGTCCTGCCCGGTGTGCCTCTGCCCGGTGTGCCTCTGCCCGGTGTGCCTCTGCTCGATGTGCCTCTGCCCGGAGTCCAGCCCGGTGTGCCTCTGCCCGGAGTCCAGCCCGGTGTGCCTCTGCCCGGAGTCCAGCCCGGTGTGCCTCTGCCCGGAGTCCAGCCCGGTGTGCCTCTGCCGGAGTCCAGCCCGGTGTGCCGCTGCCCGGAGTCCTGCCCGGTGTGCCAGTCTTTGATATCCCGCCAGTTACCAGACCCGGGCGGTGGAACATTTTGCCCAGCTAGGACTGTTTGGAGCATCCTGAGGCCGCTCCTTGAGGGGGGGGTACTGTCAGGAATGGACTGGCCAGCAATGGTGGGACTCACCTGCCTTTTGATCTGCAGTACCAGGGCTGGCCAGCGGGTGCTCCCAGCAATCAGAGACTCAACCTTTCAGCCAACTAACACCTGGAACTGATGATGCTGGGGTATTTAAGGGATGGCCAGACCCACAGACTCTGCCTTGGTGTTGTGTTTGTCCTGGGCCCTGTATCTGTCCTGCATCCTGTTTCTGTCCCTCTGCCTGACCCTCTGTACCACGCTGCTTGTTACCTGTTTTGATCCCTGGCTTGTGACCCTGACCATCCCTCTGCCTGACCCTCTGTACTACGCTGCTTGCTACCTGCTGAACCTGGCCTGTGACCCCGACCATTCTCCGCTTGCTCCCCCTGTACCTACCTGCTCAATTGATATTGACCCGGCCTGCCTGACGACGCTTGCTTGTATGTACTGTTATCTGTGGGTGGTTGGTTGGGTTTGTTTGCACTGTATTATGTTTAGTATTGCACTGCGTTTATGTTTGTATTGTTAGTGTTAATAAATTATATTGTTTATCACATATCTGAGGTCTGCGTTTCCCTGCGTCAGTCACACACCTCTGGTCATACCTGGGAGCCCTGACATAGGATCTATATAGAGGAATCAGGACCTCCTTCCTCCTGCCGGTGACCCCTCTAGTGATAGGATCTATATAGAGGAATCGGGACCTCCTTCCTCCTGCCGGTGACCCCTCTAGTGATAGGATCTATATAGAGGAATCGGGACCTCCTTCCTCCTGCTGGTGACCCCTCTAGTGATAGGATCTATATAGAGGAATCAGGACCTCCTTCCTCCTGCCGGTGACCCCTCTAGTGATAGATCTATATAGAGGAATCGGGACCTCCTTCCTCCTGCTGGTGACCCCTCTAGTGATGGGATCTATATAGAGGAATCAGGACCTCCTTCCTCCTGCCGGTGACCCCTCTAGTGATAGGATCTATATAGAGGAATCGGGACCTCCTTCCTCCTGCCGGTGACCCCTCTAGTGATAGGATCTATATAGAGGAATCAGGACCTCCTTCCTCCTGCCGGTGACCCCTCTAGTGATATAAAGATCTATATAGAGGAGTCAGGACCTCCTTCCTCCTGCCGGTGACCCCTCTAGTGATAGATCTATATAGAGGAATCGGGACCTCCTTCCTCCTGCCGGTGACCCCTCTAGTGATAGATCTATATAGAGGAGTCAGGACCTCCTTCCTCCTGCCGGTGACCCCTCTAGTGATAGGATCTATATAGAGGAATCGGGACCTCCTTCCTCCTGCCGGTGACCCCTCTAGTGATAGGATCTATATAGAGGAATCAGGACCTCCTTCCTCCTGCCGGGGACCCCTCTAGTGATAGGATCTATATAGAGGAATCAGGACCTCCTTCCTCCTGCCGGTGACCCCTCTAGTGATAGGATCTATATAGAGGAATCGGGACCTCCTTCCTCCTGCTGGTGACCCCTCTAGTGATAGGATCTATATAGAGGAATCAGGACCTCCTTCCTCCTGCCGGTGACCCCTCTAGTGATAGATCTATATAGAGGAATCGGGACCTCCTTCCTCCTGCTGGTGACCCCTCTAGTGATGGGATCTATATAGAGGAATCAGGACCTCCTTCCTCCTGCCGGTGACCCCTCTAGTGATAGGATCTATATAGAGGAATCGGGACCTCCTTCCTCCTGCCGGTGACCCCTCTAGTGATAGGATCTATATAGAGGAATCAGGACCTCCTTCCTCCTGCCGGTGACCCCTCTAGTGATATAAAGATCTATATAGAGGAGTCAGGACCTCCTTCCTCCTGCCGGTGACCCCTCTAGTGATAGATCTATATAGAGGAATCGGGACCTCCTTCCTCCTGCCGGTGACCCCTCTAGTGATAGATCTATATAGAGGAATCAGGACCTCCTTCCTCCTGCTGGTGACCCCTCTAGTGATAGGATCTATATAGAGGAATCGGGACCCCCTTCCTCCTGCCGGTGACCCCTCTAGTGATAGGATCTATATAGAGGAATCAGGACCTCCTTCCTCCTGCCGGTGACCCCTCTAGTGATATAAAGATCTATATAGAGGAATCAGGACCTCCTTCCTCCTGCCGGTGACCCCTCTAGTGATAGATCTATATAGAGGAATCGGGACCCCCTTCCTCCTGCCGGTGACCCCTCTAGTGATAGGATCTATATAGAGGAATCGGGACCTCCTTCCTCCTGCCGGTGACCCCTCTAGTGATAGGATCTATATAGAGGAATCGGGACCTCCTTCCTCCTGCCGGTGACCCCTCTAGTGATAGATCTATATAGAGGAATCAGGACCTCCTGCCGGTGACCCCTCTAGTGATAGATCTACATAGAGGAATCAGGACCTCCTTCCTCCTGCCGGTGACCCCTCTAGTGATAGGATCTATATAGAGGAATCAGGACCTCCTTCCTCCTGCCGGTGACCCCTCTAGTGATAGGATCTATATAGAGGAATCAGGACCTCCTTCCTCCTGCCGGTGACCCCTCTAGTGATATAAAGATCTATATAGAGGAATCAGGACCTCCTTCCTCCTGCCGGTGACCCCTCTAGTGATAGGATCTATATAGAGGAATCAGGACCTCCTTCCTCCTGCCGCTGACCCCTCTAGTGATAGGATCTATATAGAGGAATCAGGACCTCCTTCCTCCTGCCGGTGACCCCTCTAGTGATAGGATCTATATAGAGGAATCAGGACCTCCTTCCTCCTGCCGGTGACCCCTCTAGTGATATAAAGATCTATATAGAGGAATCAGGACCTCCTTCCTCCTGCCGGTGACCCCTCTAGTGATAGGATCTATATAGAGGAATCAGGACCTCCTTCCTCCTGCCGGTGACCCCTCTAGTGATAGGATCTATATAGAGGAATCAGGACCTCCTTCCTCCTGCCGGTGACCCCTCTAGTGATATAAAGATCTATATAGAGGAATCAGGACCTCCTTCCTCCTGCCGGTGACCCCTCTAGTGATAGGATCTATATAGAGGAATCAGGACCTCCTTCCTCCTGCCGGTGACCCCTGTACCCCAATACTCTATTAGTGGATTCCTTTTCTCTCCAGCAGTCAGAAGACGGCAGCTTTGAATTGAAGCTTCTCACAGAGGAATGTTTCTTTGTATCAGGTTCCATTGAAGGGGACAAAGTGTATTTTCAGTGATTGTACATTTTGAGTTGTGATTTGTAACAACATAAATCATTTTTCATGCGACTTTCACACTTTTTCACGCTTCCTGCCTGATATTTTTTAGTCCCTCTTATATAAAGGATTTGATGTGTGCCCCCTGGTGGTCCTCTGTATGATGGTGAGCGGACCCTCAGTGGCAGGATTGCCTTAGCCGGCCCATTGGCACATACTTACCTTTTCCTGCTCTCTGCAGCACCAGCAGCCCAATGATACAAGTGACAGCGCTCGGCCGTCCTGGTGATGTCGTCTGCTCATTCAGCTCAATGTTGGTCTCTTGCCCCCCCAGACAGCACCCTCTAGTGGTGACCAGGAAGAACTGTCCAATAGCAAACATGTCTGCAACCTCATGGGGAGGCCACGCTCCTGGGAATAGAATTCATCCTCAGAAAAGGTTACCCATCCTGTTGGCATTTTGGCATCGGGGGAGGGGGAGAAGAACAAATATATAATGTTTGGTGAATGTGCAGTTATACATTGAACACTCGATTGTCAG